CCCCTCTCCCGAGCCTTCAGGAGTGTTGATATGTGTTTGGTGTGTTGGCGTGCAGCAGTGCTTCATTATTACTTATACTTAACGTTATTTATGAATGAATTTTTATATTACCTTGCCTCGTAAATAAGGATGAAAATATTGTAATTGATTTGTGTGCGAGTAAGTCGGTCAATCCGCACTCTGAACTTGAAGGACCTCTTGATATCTTTGTGTCACTCGTTATCATTGACTATTCCTTAAGGGGCCTATCTGGCTCAGTGGCTCAGGTCAGCTATAGTGCTTCAAGTAAAGGTCAGAGACGAAGAGGAGGACGGGGTAGGGTGGGGTCGAGGAGGAGGAAAGGTGGGGTCGAGGAGTGTGTTCTGTGTCGACCCTCTTGCTTATGCTGTTGGCAATGGCGCTTAATGTTTCACTTCGATTGAATTCCTATTACGAGTATTAATGACACTGTCAGAAAGTGATGTGTCGGCTACGTAATGACTCCCACATTGTTGCTGTAATCGATAAAGTCATTTGTTGCGCGTCTGGATTTTAATAGTCAATAAATTGTTGTATCAAGTATATGCGGTGTCGCGGGTGATAATGTGTTAGCTGTGCCAAGTTAATGATCGTTCAAAAAGTAATTCTAAACTCGTTTTCTTTTATCTTTCAAATCTAAATGGACGAGTCATTTGTTGGGCTTAACGCGGACATGTGCGGCGAGTCTGAAATATTTGGCGGTATTTTAATTGGCGGGTCTGCAGTATTGGTGGTGTTTTAATGGGCGGGTGGCGGTGAGCACGGTGCTGTCTGGCTAATGACGCAAGCACCATAATTATTGGCGGCTCCCAGGGCAAACCCGCTAATTGTCGCCACACGTAATTGCCTATTGTCTGGAGGGTAATTTGTGGGAGTGTTTTGCTGGGTGATAGTCGGGACGAGGCGGCCATGGCTCGTTGACTTGTTTGGTTAATACCAGGAGACTCCCCGCCTCCTGTCGCAGGTGTCAACGAGGGCGGGGAGAGAGAGGGAATCAGACCTACCTACCTACCAGCGGGAAAGAGGGAGTCATACCTACCTGCGGGAGAGGGAGTCATTTCATACATACCTGCGGGAGAGAGGGAGTCATTCATACCTGCGGGAGAGAGGGAGTCATACATACCTGCGGGAGAGAGGGAGTCATACATACCTGCGGGAGAGAGGGAGTCATACCTACCTGCGGGAGAGAGGGAGTCATAACTACCTGCCTGCCTGCGGGTGAGAGGACAGTGGGCTACCAGTGTCTATAGGGAGCCAGATGTGTGGGAATAAAATATTATAGGGAGTCAGGTATATGAGGGCAATTGAACGTTGTGGGGAGAGAGCCAGATACACGGGCAATAAAGTGTGTGTGGGAAAGGCAGTTATGTGGAAAGGATAACTTGACGTTTAGAGTGACACGAGCTAACAGGAACACGTGTGTATGAACCAGCCCATCCACCCACCCCAACCCCATCCAGCCCACCCACCACCCCATCCAGCCCACCCACCTACCCCATCTTGCCCACCCTACCTCGCCTCGCTATTGATATTATGAGTGTGTTCATAAGCCGCTATCCTAAATGGACTGTCGTTAAATATGGATCCTTCATCCCACGCTGAGAGCATTTGCCACAAATGTTGGCCGGGATACATTACTAATATGGCGCGGTTGTGCTTCACGGCCTCCATTCTCTCTCTCATCAATATTCATATATTTTAATTGGTGGGCATCACGCGATATGCACGCCTCTGTTGTTATTGTTGGGCTCTGGGTGTGTGTGTGTGTGTGTGTGTGTGTGTGTGTGTGTGTGTGTGTGTGTGTGTGTGTGTGTGTGAGTGATAGATAGTAGTTAGAAAGAGATGAGTAAATAGATAAGTAGATATATGTATAGACAAAAATAGACAGAGGAAGACAGACAGACAGACAGACAGACAGACAGACAGACAGACAGACAGAGACACCCACCAAGTGATAGAGAGTTATGGGGGTTGTGGCCTCGCCGAGACGGAAAATCGTAGTTGAAAATAACTATATTTTTGGAGTCGACGCCGCTGGCAGCTGAGGTTGACGAGGCGAAAATGTCAGTTATTATGAGTCGCCCCTTAAACTAGAATTGGGAAATGGGGGGGAGAAATGCTCATAATTTAGGAGTCTTCAGCCAGGGAGTTTGGGAGAGAATGGTCCACTAGATTACGGCGATCGACACAGAGGAGAGCAAAAGGCCGATAAAGAGGAAATGACAGTAAATTTTGAGCGTGGTGTGGGGGGTGAGAGAGAGAGGGGGGGGAGATGAAGTGTGTGAGTGAGGTTATGATAGGAAGGAAGGATGAGAGGAGGATAGTGGGTTTAGAGTGAGGAGAGGGAGAAGGAGTGTGGATTGAAGTGACGGGAGGAAGGGAGGGGCAGTTGTGTGGAAGGAGGGAAAGGGGTGAGGGAGGGACGATGAGGGTGAATGACGCGTGTGGAAGGAGAAGAGAATAAGGAGGAGGTCGTCGTCTTCAATGTCAGTCGGCCTCGTGTAGGTGTCCGCTTGGTGTGTACACAACATCACGTGTCGCGGCCTGGTGGTGTTGTGGTGGACCGCGGGAGGGGGGAGTAAGCGACCCAATTCTCTGGCGTCTTAGTGTTCAGAGACCTGTTCTAGCCACAAGGGAGCGACCCCATAATCTGAGACCGTCAACCTGTGGTGTATTGCAGCAGTGTCCACCCACAGCCCTCACATCATCCCAAATTTGCATGTTTATTAATATTTCGTGGACGTCTAGGTTTGATGTTGTAGAATTATTCACGGTGGAGTGTTCACGTCCAGGGCCTCGGGTTCCCTCAAAGATTCAGCGTTAAATTTTCTCGTAATTGGAATTATGACAATACAGGCAACTTGCGCCTTTGACGTGTACGAATTATATATGACAGGCAAAATGCATCGAAAGTGCGCAGAGGCTCTTACCTTGCCTTGGTCCGTTCTCTTGCCCCGGTCAATAAATGTGACAGAACGAAAACGAATCTTGCGAGAATCCCCGACCTGAGGACCAGCCTGGTGAGGGTGGCTCCCAGTCTCACCGTATTAAGGCACGGTTGTTTACTTAATTGCCAGCCAGTTGAAATTTTTAGGTAATTGTGAGGATAACCAGAGCTGAGTTTTATTCCACACAGGCACTCACTCACTCACCCTTGTTTACATAAGTGAGAGCGAAGAAGAAGGGTGTAACGTGAGCCACAACACAGAAGCTTGTGTCGTGGGTGTAGGCGAGTAAGCTCATTAAGGTTGGCCGGCTTATCTTGGTGGGTGTTTGTCAACAACATCCACAACACTCACGCGCCGGATTGTTAATTAGCGGGGGTGTAAGTTACACCTAAGAAGCTGCCGTTATCCTGGGTGTAGTTCAGTGTACCATGGTGGTGTGTTAACCTGTGTTTGTGAATACGTTTATTACTGTGGGTTTCTTTTCTGCTTTTAGTAATAATACTGTGTCTTTGTTCTCTCCTCTCCTCTCCCCCTTACTCTCTTTCCCTCCCTCCCTCATCCTCCTCCCTCCCTCTCACCCCTCCTCCTCCCTCCCTTTCACCCTCCTCCCTCTCCCTCTCACCCTCCTCCCTCTCACCTCCTCCCCTCTCACCCTCCTCCTCTCTCACCCTCCCTCCCCTCTCACCCTCCTCCCTCTCACCCTCCTGCTCCTCCCTCTCCTATTAAAGATTTACACACATCTGAGAGTTCATATTCATATTATTTTTCTTTGATGTAATTCACTCGTCTGCCTATCATCATATCCCCCTGTGTGTGTACAATATAATTACTAATATTTATATGTTTTTTCTTTTTATCATCATCATCAACAAACCACCACTACCTCCTCCCATTATTAATTCATTTTAAACTGGCCGGTGTCTTAATATATTACGTTGGAGAAATTCTCCTCTATTTATTTAATTGTCTTTTTTTTATACTTTTGCTTGTTTATTTTTATGTATTTATTTATTTATTCGTTCGTTCGTCTTCGTTTTCATTTATTCTTGATGTTTTTAGTTGTATCTTTGTCTGTTTTTATTTGTATATTTTTTTATTATTTGTTTATCGTTTATTCCTCCTCATGTGTTAATTGTAGTGTGTGTGTGTGTGTGTGTGTGTGTGTGTGTGTGTGTGTGTGTGTGTGTGTGTGTGTGTGTGTGTGTGTGTGTGTGTGTGTGTGTGTGTGTGTGTGTGTAATGGTGGTGGTGTTTATTTTCATGGACTCTCTGTAAATTATTGTCGAGGTAAATTAAGGCTTTTGAATATATATATATATATGGATAACACAAGGAAAAGAAACACGAAGTTCCCAAGCGCTTTCGTGTAATTCACATCTTCAGGGGTGAGTACAAAGGTGATTTGCACGAAAGCGCTTGGGAACATCGTGTTTTCTTCTTTCCTTGTGGTTATCAGCATATACCTGGATCACGCGCACCTACAGTGATTTACTTATATATATAAATAATTTCTTTTACTTGTGTATTGTAAATTGTAAAGGTAAATTGAGGATTCTATTGTTACTTTATTTTTTACAGGATTTTCTATTTTAAATTATGAGTTGAAGATATTTTTATATATTTTATTCTTTTATATTCCAGCATTTTCTCTTTTGACGTTTAAATTGTATGTTATCCATTATTATTTTATTAATATATATTTTTTTCCGTTTACTCTTCGTATAATTCTTCCAATGGGTTTAAATCTTATGTTACTTTTCCTTCTTTCGGAATAATGTCTTTTGTTGCGGTAATCTCTATTTATTTTTTTCTGGGAATATTTTATTTTATTTTTATTAATTTATCCTACATCGGCTTTTTTTAATCATGCTTAACTGGTAAATTATATTGTATCAACTCTCTCTCTCTCTCTAAGAGTCTACATTCCTTCATCTTCGCCTTTATTATTATACCGTATTATTATTAGTATTAGTATTAGTATTATTCTCAACAGATAAAATATTGTGTGCTCATCTCTCTCTCTCTCTATTTACAGTGTGATAGCGAGAGCGAAGGAGACACTAAGGTAAGGAGTCAGGTTCTTGGAGGAGTGTGTGTAACAAGACCCCGTCACCGTGAGCTATTGAGATACGAACTATTTTGTATTTATTTATTTATTAATTTTTTTTTAGACACGAGAATACAGATCCAAAGTGATTAACAATAACAACAGTAGCAATAGTGTGTGTGAGACGCAACAAACGAGCCTATTAATAAGCTGGTCATTAGGGTGCGTAACGACCAATTAGGCGTTATTGTCGGAGCAGACACGGAACCAGCAATTACCCAGACCACTCTTGTGTTGTGCCTCCCTCTCTCCCCACCCACTCACCCCACTCCTTTATTACCTCCCACTCCATTTATTTCTTAATTTGATTGTTTGTTGTTTACCTGTGTACATTACTCTTCGCTTTTGTTTGCATTTACCTTTAGCCATTGTTTGTTTACCTGCGTATTTGTTTGACGGTTTTACTCAATATCCTTCTGTCTGTTTACCTTTCTGGCTATAGTCTATCTATGTATCCAATCTATTCAGTCTATTGTCTTTCTAATCTATCTTATCTAATATTTGTAGTATGTCCAATTTATTTTATCTATTTGAACTGTCACTTCTAACCTCTATGTATCTGTAGACCTTATCTATTTATCTATATCTATTCTATATCACTTTGTATTATTCTTGCATTATTTCGCCCTTCTCTTCCCTTGTTCTCTCGTTATCTCGTTGCCCTAATTCATCGTCGTTTCCTTTGTTACGTTCTCATAATGGCCTCGACAAGGGAGGGAGTTCGATGCTTAGGACTGCGATACCCACCCACCCCACACTCCCACACACACACACCACCCCCACACACACCCACACACACACACACACACACTCCCACCCACCCACACCCCCCCACACCCCCCCCACACACACACACCCACACCCCCCCACACACACACACCCACACCCCCCAACACACACACACACACACCCACACCCCCACACACACACACACACACCCACACCCCCCCACACACACACACACACCCACACCCACACACACACACACACCCACACCCCCCACACACACACACACCCACACCCCCCCACACACACACACCCACACCCCCCCCACACACACACACCCACACCCCCACACACACACACACCCACACCCCCACACACACACACCCCACACCCCCCCACACACACACACCCCACACCCCCCCACACACACACCCACACCCCCCACACACACACCCACACCCCCCACACACACACACACACCCCACACACACACCCACACCCCTACACACACACACACTCCACACACACACACACACATCAACACACACACACACACCACTGCTAATAATAATAATAATAATGATGATAAAAATAATGATTTGCGGTTTACTTCTGCTTATATTAGTGATGATAATGAAATGAATATAATCAAAATATTGATACCTGTACTACTACGACAAATAATAATAATGATTATGTTAATGGTGATAATTATAATAATAGTAATAAAACGAGTTTATAAATATAATTCTCAACTTTTAGTGATGATTATAATAATAATAATCCATCATCATAATAATAGTTTTTATAATACCCATAATGCTACCAGTAATTGATGACCTTTTCCCGAGAATATTGAATAATTTCACTGTTTATCGTTCACTCAGCATTACCAAAGACTAGAATCATCGGAATCCCATTATTGCATGACCAATCTACTTCACTATCGCCTCGTAGCCTTAATGTACCTGTTGTGTGTGTGTGTGTGTGTGTGTGTGTGTGTGTGCGCGCGCGCGCGCGCCCCCCATAAAGCCGCTTGAGGGTCGTGTTTACAAAAAGGTCTACACGGGGTGCGGTAGCCGGGGGTGTGTTGATTACATGTTGTTTGTATCTCTCTCTCTCTCTCTCTCTCTCTCTCTCTCTCTCTCTCTCACATATATATAAGTAACAACGTTAGGGTCTGGGGTTCGTGCCATTTAACCAAACCTAACCTAACCTAACGCTAACCTAACCATATACCCCCAGCTAGCGTCAGGATATTTAATTATATGGTAAGGTTAACTGGCCGGGGCTAATATTAAAGTGATCTGTTATGGTTTAGTGTAATGAATGTGGACCACCAAGAGGGGAGCATGGGGGGGGAGGTGCCTTGATCTGTCGTGGTGTATATATCGCTTTAGAGAGAGAGAGAGAGAGAGAGAGAGAGAGAGAGAGAGAGAACGTCAAGTGTTGGAAGAGACGGAAGAGGGAGTTGGTATAAAGCCATGGAGGAGGAGGGAGGGGGGAAGCCGGAAGCCGTGTGCACCACTCAAGAGGCCGGCTAAACACCGCCTCCCTCGAGTGGGGATTGACTGAATGGGCTCTTGACACGACCCAGCCTCAGGCCCTACCGCTTCCTGGCGATGCGGACCTCTCCCTCCCTCCCTCCCGTGGCCCTGTTTGTTTATCCCTAATTTGTATATTTATTGTCCCTGGGGAGGTGTTCTGTCAATCACAAAAAGGTTATAGTGTCCTCTGTATGTATGTGTGTCTGTCTGTCTGATCAGAGATATACAAGAATATCTTTCCCTGTTCTGAAATTATGTCCTGGAGACTTGGATCACAAGTTACTCAGGAACATCTTGTACGTGTCTTGTTACATAATTTGCCTGGCATAATTGTGGTTCGCCCTTGTCTTGTGGCTGACTGAAGGCTTATCTTAGTGAGTGGATTACCAACCCCAGCACAACAGGGCACCAGCCTGATGAAACACTAACACCTTGCAGCCAGATGGATCACACGGCCCCACCAGCCAGATAGATCACACGGCCCCACCAGCCAGATAGATCACACGGCCCCACCAGCCAGATAGATCACACGACCTCACCAGCCGGATAGATCACACGGCCCCACCAGCCAGCCAGATAGATCACACGGCCCCACCAGCCAGATAGATCACACGGCCCCACCAGCCAGATAGATCACACGACCTCACCAGCCGGATAGATCACACGGCCCCACCAGCCAGATGGAACACACGGCCTCACCAGCCAGATAGGATCCACGTGGCCCATCGTCGTGGCTCGTGTGTGTGCCTTAACATTTAGTTCAGTGGTTCTCAAATTCCCTTAATGGTTTAGGTGACGGCCTTCTTGATGGAGTGGAGGGCGGCGCGGGGAATATTGATGACCTGGGGAGTTAACCCGCTGCTACCATCATGACTGATAGCCGGTGAGCAGGTAGTTGTCATCAGGTATTGAGGTACAGGTGTTGTTTTAGACACGTTTGATCGTACAGTGAGGGGTGACGAAGCAGGGATTTGTTGACATTACTGTAGGCTCGTCGTTAACCAATAAGAGGTGGCAGGTGAGGTAGACAAGTGCCACTGAGTAATGAGAAACATATTGGAGGCGTGTCACCTGATTTGGCGAGTGACAGGTGTTCAGGTGTATGTTGCGTGGTATTGGAGGTATGTGTTACGTGGTGTTGGAGGCATGTGTTACGTGGTATTGGAGGTATGTGTTACGTGGTGTTGGTGGCATGTGCTACGTGGTGTTGAAGTCATTTCCCTGTCGTCGAGGAGTAACCTGCAGCTTCACCAAGACTTGGATAATTGTGGGGCGACTTTGGGAGGCTGAGAGGTAAATATTAATGCAAAGCGACGGATTGGTGTGTGTGTGTGTGTGCGCGCGCGCGCCACCTGAAGCTCCGAGTGACCCCCCCCCACACACACACACACACGCCAGATCCTACCCTAAGTTTATATTGGTTTCTTTGCCGGAGTGGTTATCATATACTGAGCAGGCACTTCTTTGATTGTGGGTTCGAATCCCTTCTTTAGGTGCCAGTACAAACAGTATAATCGTATCCTTGCTGGCTTGTAAGAACCCAGCTGACTCACACATGCCCAGACCATTAAGGGTTATGTTACTATGTACTGTACGTGTTATGTAGTTTATCTGTACATCATACTCGTACTAGTTCAAGATACATTTATGATCAGTGTTCCTTCAGCTGGGTTTTCAAGTTGCAGTCGTTGGAGGGTTCAGTTCTGTGTGTGTGTGTGACTCTTCCTCCTGTTGTGTATATTTGTATATTTTTTCGCCAGGTAAACAGTTTGAGTTCCGCAAGGTGGTACGTGTAGATGTTGCCGGTGATGTTGAGAATGTTGTGTATTGTTGCATTTGTTCTTCCCTCTCAAGACGTCCGACACTTTCCTTCCCTCTCAAGACCTCCAATTACCTTCCTTCCCTCTCAAGACCTCCTATACTTTCCTTCCCTCTCAAGACGTCCGATACTTTCCTTCCCTCTCAAGACCTCCAATTACCTTCCTTCCCTCTCAAGACCTCCTATACTTTCCTTCCCTCTCAAGACCTCCAATTACCTTCCTTACCTCTCAAGACTCCCACTCACTTACTCCTCTTTGTTTTGTTGTTCTCGCTCACGGTGTCCCACTTGAATAAATAGTCTATACCCGGTTACCCCCTGACATAAGATGAAGGGTGTTCGAGTGACCCAACACACAGATGCCTATTGACGCGTGGAGGGTGTGACAAGTGGTTGAGAGAGAGAGAGAGAGAGAGAGAGAGAGAGAGAGAGAGAGAGAGAGAGAGAGAGGCTGACTGACTGAAGAGGAAGGGGGAGTGTTCTTTTGAGCTGGGTCTCTCTGGGTACACAACACCAGGGAACCATCACTCAACAAGGTAAGTTTTTATTCAGTCTTATGGGGGACGAGGGAAGAATATTTTTAAGTAAGAATAATGGAGAAATGTTTAGTGAGGGAGGAAAGGGGACTTAGAGGTGGTGTTAGGTTATATACCCGAGTCGTCTGTTTGTCACCATACTAACCTGAGGACCTGGCCTGCCCTCACACACACACGTAACTTTACCTATGTGTCAAGGTTCTCGGGTCCAGCTGCAACACGCCGTAATCTACTCCATGTGTTATCAAACAATTCTGAAAGGCAGGTTACCAGGCTCCTGAGGTCACTGTAATAATGTGCATTACTATTCTTATCACTGTTATAGCCTGTAAGAAGACCAACAACAACTAAAGTATAGAATCAT